AAACAAAAAACCCTAGTGATAGCAAAAGTAGCTCACTTCTTTCAGCCTCTAGGAGTAGGAAATCAAATAAGGGATCGCGACAGCGAAAAGAAAAACAGAGGAAAAAAGAATGGGAGAAAAACATCGCCTCATCACTCGGCGGTTAGCTGATTGTGCGTGGGTCTAGAACGAATAATACAATACACTCGTCTAACGTGACACCGATCGAGGGGCGGGAAAGCGAACTACGGCAGCAACGGGGCTTCCACTATGCTTTAAAAGCCGAAATTGTGGGTGCGAGCGGGTCCCTTCTACCACCCATGGGGGGCGCTGAGTATTCCTAAAGGAAGAACTCAGTAACCTTTTTTATCGCGAACCGTGCCTTTAACCAGGAACAAGGAGAAAAAAGTCGGAATACGAGAGGTCAGGAGTACTATGCAAATTCATAAATTAACATCTTCACTGCTCTCTTAAAGCCTGTCGTAAAGAAAACTATCAGGAAATGTTTCAAAGGGGAGTTTATTGACCGAGATTGATGTCCTACAAAGGGAAGGATTTCGGTAAATGTTATCGAGAATCGAGCACGATACATAGATCTGAAAACACATATGTTCAAGAATGAGGGTTGAAGATTGCAATCGTCAGAATTGGGAAGGAGTAAGAAGTATTCTGAAAGCCAAAACGAAGTCTGCAAATGTACGCCTCTATATAAGACTTTCCAACCTTTAACGCGTATCTTGTAGGGCATCATGGGCCTACTGTGACATAGGTTTGTTAACACACGAAGAAGCTAACCTCGTGAAGGTACTCTATAGTCTCGTCTTAACAATTCTAAATAAGCTGTACAGTCGCCGAAGGGCTTTGGATACTGTATGTTCAATATGAACCTCCCAATCCCTCGATATGGCTACCCCGAGATTATGAGCCTGAGTAGCGATGCTAGATGGACGACATTAACCCCTCCATGGCAAAATTGGCACTCTAACCGAGTGTAAGCACGATTGTAAGTAATTGTAATGTTGAGTTTAAGACACTACTTATGAGTCCATGAAAAGGACTTATGAACGGGCTGGTAAACCCAGGAGCGAAGGTTTGCTGACCACAGCTACCACATTAGTGGATTGGCCACTGGGAAAGTCTTTAACATCATCAGTAGACGCATATCCTCTATGTCATGGTCGTATGCATGCGTCGATGGATGATCCATTATGTAAATATAGAATGAAAGTGCGCGTTACACCCGACAAACAGTCTTTTCACTCTGGTAAGGCTCCATGGGCTTCACCACAAAGCTCCTATTGGCAATGTACGACTTGAGTCAGTCCAATAAAGCCCTCTAATTACAAGAACATGCTGCTTCTCAGTAAGCTCCTGTGGTTCAGAGTAGATGTCTCTGACGTTTCTCGAGGAATGAGAGCATTCACCAACAAATGGGTACATCCGCGAAGCTGCAAGCATGTGGACGAGCACTTGATGAAAACATACTGCTTTCGAGAAAAAACTAGAAACTTGCCAACGATTTAGGGAACAATGATTGGTAGGCATTCATAATCGAGTAGAATGGGAATACTAGGAGAACGTCCGTTGCGCGTGTCCGTCGAAAGTAGGTCACTCCGCCCACTTCGCGCGCGGCGCATCACACTGAGGTCTCGAGATGACATTACAGTACCACCAAGTGTCATTGGAGCAAATGATTTGCATTTGTCTGTGTTATATTCTTCTTGAACTGACTGCCGTGGACCAAACGCAAAACGTATGCCCCAGTGACAATTGCGACGTCTGTCAAATATCGCGGGCCGACTCGCCGCGTGCGGCGGCTGCGGCGTGACCTAGTTTCGACGGACACGCGCAACGAAGCGCACCCGGGAATACTATTACTTGGAGGTCGCTAGATGAAAACGCATTGGCGAAGCATCTGCCAAAATTTTGGTTCTCTCAGACGCTAAGAGGAGAACCGAACCATTATAACCGATTGAACAGAAAAACAACAGAAGTATTTCTTCTGATTGCCTAAGCACTCACCAACATATGGAAGCTCTTTCATATTGCGACGACAGCCTCCTCTTTCTGTAGGCGATCACGTCTGAGAAGAAACCTGAAATTTCTGCAATTCCGTTATACTCGACATACGATAGGATGTTCTCAAATTCAATAGGCGAACATTACCTTTCTCCGGACAGATTTCTGATGTGCTGCAGATACCTATAAAAAAAGACCTGCAGATACCATTTTCCGCACTAGAGGAAAGCGATCAATAAGCGAATGAACAACATTCAGAATTCGATCACAAACATCATTAATAGAAGCATACCCATCGAATGAATCGAGCCAATTGATCCTACCTGATTCCGCATTGACCATATCTTCATTGATTATAGAAAAACCAGTTGGATCGCCCGGCTAGCGCCAGGCTCTCCTCCTTCTTGTGTCAAACACTCTATCCCGAGAAATGTCGGATTGAAAGAATTGTTCCCTTTTTCGAAGTTTGTATCCGCTGTTTAGCTAAGTAAGAGTATGAAACTTGAACGGAGCTCGAAATCCTTCTCTGACACAACAGAAATCGAAAGCTTCCCTCTTTCTTTGATAGTTTAGTAATTCCCCACTCTTTCTTTGGAACAAATGGCAGTTTCCTGTACACGAAATTAGACACAGGGCAGTGCAAATGGTATTCAGCTGAAGTCGGTGCTCATGCCTTTGATCGGAAGTCTCGAACCCTTGTTTGCTTAGAAATAAATACCCATCAAAAATCCAATTGTTAGACAATCAAAGATGATGGTTTGATGTTCTGAGTGATGATAGCACCGTTATCAGATGCTCTTTATCAATGGACGTTATCATTAGTTGAGAATTTCAGATTACAGGCGGTCGAATAAGTTTTGTTGCAAATGATATCGAGCAAAGAGGATCCTTCATTATCACAAACCTAGCTGGGTAGCGGTCGTAATTTAATAGTAAGAAATGAACAAAGTTCTAATCTG